TCCAAATTGGAAAGGAGGAAGTAAAGCTGCCACTGTTTGCAGATGACATGATAGTACATAGAAAACCCTATAGATTCCACCAAAAAACTACCAGACCTAATAAGTGAATTTAGCAAAATAGCAGGGTCCAAAGTCAATATTCAGAAATAGAAGGCATTTTTGACAACCAACAGTGAAATATCAGAAACAGAAATTAGGGAAGGAAAAACAAAACCTATATGCTATGGCAACAAGAAAAATAAAATACCTAGGAAGAAACCTAACCAAGGAAGTAAAAGACCTGTACTTGGAAAACTACACAATACTGAAGAAAGAAATTAAGGAAGACAACTAAATGGAAGCATGAACCATGTTCATGGATTGGAAGAATTAACATCATCAAAATGTCCATACTACCCAAAGCAGTTTATAGATTCAATAAAATCCTTATTAAAATATCAATGACATATTTCACAGATATAGAACAAACATTTCAAAAATTTATATGGAACCATAAATGACTCCAAATAGCCTCAGCAGTTTTGAGAAAGAAGAACAAAATGGGAGGGATCACAATATCTGACATCAAACTGTATTATAAGGCCACTATAATCAAAACAGTCCGGTACTAGCATAAGAACAGACTCATAGATCAATGGAACAGAACAGAGAGCCCAGAAATAAATCCATGTCTCTATGGTCAATTAATATTCAACAGAGGGGACAGGAGCATAAAATGAGTAAAAATAGACTCTTCAACAAATGGTGTTAGGAGATCCAGACAGCTACAGGCAAAAAAATGAAACTCTACCACCAACTCACACCATACACAAAAATAAACTTCAGATGGATAAAAGACTTAAATAAAAGTTATAACACCATAGAAGTCCTAGAGGAGAACACAGGCAGGAAAATCTCAGATATCCCACACAGCAATATTCTCACTGATATGTCTCCTACAGCAAGGGATATAAAAGAAAGAATAAACAAATGGGACTACATTAAATTAAAAAGCTTCTGCATGGCTAAAGAAAACATCAGCAAAATGAAAACGGGACTGACCATATGGGAAAATACATTTGCCAATGATACCTCAGACAAGGATTTGATCTCCAAAATATAAAAAGAATTCACACAACTCCAAGAAGACAATCCAATTAAAAAATGGTCAAAGGACCTGAATAGACACTTCTCCAAGGATGACATACAGAGGGCCAGGGACATATGAAAGGATGCTCAGCATCATTAGCCATCAGAGAGATCCACATTAAAACCACAATGAGATACCACTTCTCACTGCTCAGAATGGCCATCATAAATAAATCGACAAACAAGTACTGGCGAGGTTGTGGAGAAAAGGGAACCCTAGTACACTGTTGGTAAGAATGTAGACTGGTGCAGCCACTGTGGAAAAAAGTATGGAATTTCCTCAAAACACTAAAAATGGAACTGCCTTTTGACCCGGCAATTCCACTGCTGGGATTATACCCTAAGAGTCCTGAAACACCAATTCAAAAGAACCTATGCCCCCCAATGTTCATAGCAGCACAATTTACAATAGCCAAGTGCTGGAAACAGCCTAGGTGCCAATCAGTAAATGAATGGATCAAAAAACTGTGGTACATTTACACAATGGAATACTACGCAGCAGAAAAAAGAAGGAGTTCCTACTCTTCACAGCAGCATGGATGGAACTGGAGAGCATTATGCTAAGTGAAATAAGCAAGGCAGTGAAAGAAAAATACCATATGATCTTATCTATGAGTGGAGCCTAATCAACAAAACAAGCTAGCAAAATAGAAGCAGAGACATGGAAATAAAGAAAAAACAGAGCCAGAGGGGAGCAGGAAGGGGAATAACGGGGAAAAGAAGGGGAAGAGTCAAGTCAAGGAACATGTATAAAGGACCCATGGACAAAGACAATGCGGGGTGGGGGGTAGGATTGAATGTGGGAGGTGGGGGTGAGTAGGGCAGGGAAGAGTAATGGGGGGGAAATGGGGACAATTGTAATTGAATGATAAAAAAATATTTAAAAGAACAAGAATATGCAAAATGCAATTTTAAGTTGTATTTCTTATGATATATAAAGCCTCAGTAAAAATTTTGTTGTCATACTTAACAGCCTTCTGTTTACAGTTGGTTTGGAGGAAAATTCAAGAAAACCCAACCCTGTGTCCCAAATGTGGGGCCTGTGGCAAGGCAAAGGTAAGGGAACAGCCAGGAGTAGAGGAGGAAAAGCAAGACTTCAGCTGAGAGAGGAAGCAGAACCAGAGGCTACCATAACACTGGACCCATTGGGATTGGTGCCAGTCAACAGCCCCATCTCTCCCAAACTGCCCAGGCCTTGCCCTCATTTTCCAATGAGGAGTATCTTATGCAGGCATTAAGGAGCAGGGTGACCCCAGCTGACATTCAGGCTATAGTCACTGCTCCAGACCGAGGGTTTGGTCAGGACCCATCAAAAGTAGTGAAAGTCATCAAGAGAAGTTTGTGTGGGCCTGTCTCTGGAGATGCAAGAAAAGGAGGGAGTGGTTGAGAAAACACCACATATCTGTGCCAGACAAGTATGGGGAGAAGCTGAGCCTCACAGAGAAACAGGTGATGGAAGATTTTGAGGGAGAGGTCAACAGGTTGCTCTCACAGGGCCTATAGACGAGAGGAAGGGACTGTCCAGTAAGCCAGCCTAGAATAGGCCAACACTCACCACAAGTTGATGCAAACAGCACAGAAGGCGGGAGAATGGTAAGGTCCAGGAACCTGGCTTTCCTCCCCTCGATCAGAGGGAGAGCCAGGCCAACTCTGCTCCTGCCCTCTTCCCCATGGACAAGTGATGAGAAGAGGGGACATGGGCCTTGGCACAGAGGACACAGGCCTCACGTGGGTGAGCAGCTCAGGGTCTAGTCAAGGTTTAGTTCTCTGTGTCCTCCAATTCCCCCTTCAGCAAGTTCCTCCTTAAAGGTCCCTAACTCCCCATCATTCCTCTAGGGTCACATCCATCCCCAAGGGCTCCCATCTCTCCATGGCCTCCTTGATGTTTAAAATTAAGAGTGGAGATACTGACCGTAACCTGGGAATGGGGCAGACTGTCAGCAACAGCAAAACGTTCAGATCGCAAAGTTAACACTCTGAGGTGGGAACTCGGGCACCCTGACCAACAGTGAAAAGGATGGTTTTACTTAAATAACTATTCAAATCACCCCCATTTGTGGCTTCCCACTTGAGAGGACCCACCTGAAGGCTACAGGGGGTCAGATTAAGGCAGGAGGGTGGAAAAAATGAAGAGAGAGGAAACTGAAGAGTGAAATACAGAACAGATCTGACATGTGAGATCACAGTGTGACATTTTATGAGCCCTGTGGAAATAACTGCAAAACCCCTGAGCGAAAAACAGCCCAGAGAAATAAGCCACCCCACACCTAAATCCTCAGGGAAAGAGGAGGGGGCGGCCATCTGACCCATGTGTTCTAGGACTCAAAGAGGGGAAAGTCCAGTTATTTCCACAATTCTCAAAAGCATAGAAATAGGGAAGAAATGAGCTCTGGTCAGTGTAGCTCAGTTGGTTAGAGCGTCAGCCCATGGACCAAAAGGCTGGCAGTTCAATTCCTGATCAGGGCACATGCCTGGGTTGTGGGTTTGGTCCCTGGTTGGGGCACATAGGAGAGGCAACTGATCAATGTTTCTCTCTCACGTCGATGTTTCTTTCCCTCTCCCTCCTGCTCCCTTCCTCTCTCTCTCTCTAAAGTCAATACGCATGGCCTTAGGTAAGCATAAAAAATAAAATTAAATAAATAAAATAAAATAGAAACAGGGAAGAGATGACCCACTGGCATTGACCTTTAATCCCAGTGCCCAAGGCTTGTAGGGAAGATGCCCTGGGGGCTCCAGGACATCAGTGACTGACACAGCCAGAGGCGGGAAGGGGAAAACGAAGGCGACAGTGGGGTGACGAGGGAAGAACAGATGGGCAGAGGGTAATACCTGTATCACAGACTGGCAGGAAGACTAAATGAGACCGTATGTGATTTCCCAGCACAGAGTGTGACACATGTTTAAGTCCCTTGTCTACCATTCTAACACTTTCATAGCAAGCTCTTTTGGCTGTAAAACCAGACCTCAGCTGATACAAAGCTAGGCTAGTTATAGTCATTATTCGCTCCACTTAGTTGAAATATTCAATAGTTTTGCTGCAGAAATGTTGTGCTAGACTGTGAGTGCCACCCCAGCCCCATGAAGGTGTCTTGTGGTGCTAGTTTCTTCCCCAAATCTGAAAAATTCTAAAACCTCACCCTGACCCTGGCTGGTATGGTTCAGTTGGTTGGAGCATCGTCCCATAACAGGAGGGTTGTGGGCTCAATTCCCAGTCAGGACACATACCTAGGTTGCGGGTTTGATCCCTGGTTTGGGCACATATGATCCCAGGACTGGTGAGCACAGGAGGCAACCGATTGATGCTTCTCTCTTGCATCAATGTTTCTCTCTCTCTCTAAAAGCAATGAAAAAAAAAAAAAAAGAGTTCTCTGGTGAGTATTTAAAAAAAAAGAATAAAACCTGACCCTGTTTCAGGTACTCAGCTCTGGTTTCCCTTCCTTCTCTAAACTGCTTGTCCCTGTGAAATAAGAAGTTTAACTCTGTGGTGACTGAAAGAGGGGACACGCCAATGAGCTTGGACACTGTGAACAGGGTGTAGTGTGGGCATCTTGCGTACAAGAGCATGAACAGGAGAGGTGGGTGACTACACTTGACACTTTATAAAAGAGGCAGGCATAGAGTTAAATTCTTCATGAGCACCAGAGAGACAGAGGCAGAGAAGCTGCATGTTGGAGGGGCCGACTTCAAAGAGCAGCAGGTCTTCTGACAGAGTTGGCCTCTAACAACTCTCCCCAGCACCCAGCACCCAGCATGCGGAAAGGGTGGAGGAGTAAAAGGTTGCTGCTACAAAAAAAAAAAAAAAAAGACACAGTACAGCTTCACTGACATCAAAGGTTAGCTTGCCACCTAAAGCATAGCAACGGCAACAGCAACAACCTGTAGCTGCTGCCCAGGGGGTGAAAGAGGAAACAGCACCCAGCGCTGAAGCCAGCCAGCAGTTAGCGAGAGAGTTCCCTGGGCAGGAGCCATGGCCTGGCTGCCTTCCTGCTGGCTGTGGGTTCTGGTGACTCTGGTGGGGCTCTCTGCTACCCTGGCCTCTCAGGACTGCCCGAAGAAGCACTACTGGGCTCAGGGAAAATGGTGCTGCCAGATGTGTGAGCCAGGTAAGAGAGGAGGCCTTGCCAGGGGCCAGCTGAGTGTGGGAGAGGACTGGGTTTGCGGGGAAAGGGGAGCAGAAAGTGAGTCTTAGCTCCAGCAAGGAGAGGAATCCTGCAGCGCCAGAGGCACCACTTTTGCAGAGGGCAAAAAGCAGCCTCCCTTGAGCCTTGACCTTGGACCTCTGCTCACAGGAATGTTCCTCAAGAAGCACTGTGACGGGGATAGACAGCCTGCTCAGTGTCAACCGTGTGTACTGGGGATCTCCTACTCACCAGACCACAACTCCCGGTCCCACTGTGAAAACTGTCGGCACTGTAACTCTGGTGAGATGGGAGAGCATTTGGGGAGCAAGGTGGCAGAGCGGGGTACAGAGGAGCAAAGTGGGGGAAGAGTCAGAGCGTCAGTTGCTTCAAGGCTACAAGTGGAACCAATTCTGGGAAATGGAGTGCCCTGGGAGCGGGTATGTTGATGTGATGGGGAAAACCCTCGTGTTTATGGAAGGGGTGAGCAAAATTTGAGGGACTGCTAAGAATGAGTCCAGGGCTGGCATGAAGGTGATAAAAAGGGGGAAGTAGCTTTAGGACCCCAGATTTCAGCCAAGCAACAAACCATCCCCTCTACACACACACACACACACACACACACACACACATTTGAACTGGCTGGGTTTGCAGTGGACATTTGTTTGGAACTTTGAATACATCTTTCTAGGGATATACTAGCCAATGGTTAACAACCTGTACTTGCACAAAAGTAAATGGAGTAAATAAGTCAATTGAGGAAAATGCATGTGCATCTGGCTTGCATTTTTATTTTGTAATTTCTTTTTTTTAAAAAAGTGTAAAATCTGGGCTGTGTCACAAATCCTCTTATTATTTCCCCATTTTAGCTGGAATTTCAGAAATTATGTGCCAGTGTATAGAGTAGATTTTAAAGTGGACACTTTGAACAAACGTCCTGCAGCAGGACACACGTGCGGACTATTTAACAGAACTACTTCACTACTTGTCTGTAAGATGTTTGGTCTTGCTAGGCTTTTAATACTGTATGCTTAAAAAAACTAACTAAGCTGGCGTAGTTCAGTGGATTGAGCATGGGCTGTGAACCAAAGTGTCGCAGGTTTGGTTCCCAGTCAGGCCACATACCTGGGTTGCAGGCCACGGCCCCCAGCAACCGCACATTGATGTTTCCCTCTCTCTCTCTCTCTTCTCCCCCCTTCCCTCTTTGAAAATAAATAAATAAAATCTTTAAAAAAAAACTAACTAAGCAAAAAAGATTTTGCCATTGCAGATCAAACCACAACATCTTAAATATACAAAAAGTATTATTCTTCAGTCCACTTAACTTAAAAATGATTGTTAACAGATGTTTTTCCCTTCTTGACAGTAACCCCAACAGGGTTGAAAAAAAATTTTTTTTGAAACCTACCCCACTCACTCTGCAGGTTCCACCGGAAAGACTTTTCCCAGTCCTGAGCCAGTCTATACTCCCTTCAATATGTTCCAAGCAGCCCGATCCATAACCCTTCTCTGTGAGACACAGGCCATAGGTTCCCCCAGAGCATTCAGGCAGCACCTGGCTGCAGGGCTGAGGGTTGAGGGAGTTGACTGGGAGGAGGCTGAATGAGTTTGATCCTCTTCCACCTCAGTATTCCCATCTGTAAGATGGAGACATACCAGGTATCAGCCTGGGATTTTGTGCACAGGTTATACATGGTGAAAAGAACTCTCAGGTCTCTGGACACTCATCACTGAAAACAATGGCACTTCATCCATTTTGACCCAGTCCCAGCCCCTTCTTTAGCCCTCCCTCTCCCTTTGGCAGACACCCTAGTGCTCACCCCCTCCTCAGCCCTCTAACTCTTTTGCCTGTCTCTTCCCTTCTCCACCACCCACCCCCTGTCCTGTTCCTGTTCTTCCCTTGCAGATCCTCATCCAGGTGGGCTCACTATTCCTGGCAAGCCACAGGAAATCAAATTCTAGTAGCAATGAGTCAGACTTCAGGAAGAAGAGGCCGGGGGGCATAAGGATGACAAGAAGGAATTTGTGTCCCTCTCTCTTTCCTGACAAAAGGCAAGCACTAAGGCAGATTGTTAGAGTTGGTGGCAGTCTCTGTCATCTCCCAACCTCCCTTTCCACCTGTCACCCCTCTTCCACCTATCAGGGCTCCTTTCCCTGGGTCCCCGTGGTGCGTGGTGCGTGCGCTGCTCCAAGGCCCCACCAGGCTCCCGCCCGAGCCCCGCCCCCATCCAAGTGTCGTTGTCTCCCCCGGAATCACCTTCCTCTTCTCAACCCTGACCATCTGTGAGCCCAACCCAGTGCAGCACCCCGATACCCCCCACCCACGGTATAACTGATGGGCGGCTACCCAGCACCTGACCTCTACACTTGAATATAATGTATACCTAACGGCAATGCATGTCAGTAATCAAGTTATTTGCTAGTCAAGTTGAAAAAACAATCAGGGACCATAGAAACACTATTTCTAATTGCTAGAAAAACAGAAATTACCCAAATGCACATTAACAGTAGAACAGAAGAGCCCTGACCACTGTGACTCATTTGGTCAGGTGTCATCCTGTAAAGAAAAAATCAGCAGTTCAACTCCAGGTCAGGACACATGCCCAGGTTGTAGGTTCAATCCCCAGCTGAGGCGTGTAGGAAGGCAACCAATCAACGTTTCTCTCTCACACTGATGTTTCTCTCCCTCTCTTTCTCCTTCCCTTCCCCTCTCTTTAAAATAATTTTTTTTAAAAAACAGTAGAACAGAGCAGGAATAAATGCGGTATATTCACACAATATTCACACTACACAGGAATGAGAACGAGTGATCTGCAGTTACACTCACTAATATGGGTTAGTCTCAAAAGAGTTGAGTAAAAGCAGCCAGGTGCAAAGAGGCACACGTACACGATGCCACGTGTATATTACAAAACAGAACAGGCAAAATGAACGAACTTGTGGTGCTGGGAAATCGGGCCAGTGGCTGTTCTTGGAAAGGGATGACATTACTGGTTATGTACCTTCCGTTTGACCTGGTACTGGTTACACCTGAGTCCGACTGGTACCAATTTCTCAGACTTTACACTTGCAGTGTGTCTACCTCTCTATACTATAATTCAGTGGTAAAAGTCTCAGTGAGTAAGCGAAAAATCATGTAAGCTGTTTCTACTTTTCATAGTGTCTATTTCTGAACCATGAATTTTCTAAAAGGCGCAAGTCTTTTCCTTAATAACAATAATATTAACGGCAAAGCTGCTGGGTGATGGAGAGGGAGGGCCCGCCTTTGCAGGGCTGGGGTGGGCCTAGGTGGAGGCTGGGAGAGAGGATTAAGCAGGTAGACCTTGCAGGTCTCTGAGGCCTGAGTGTCTAGTGTTCCTCTGGCCTCTTCTGTCCCCAGGTCATGTCATTCGAAACTGCACCCTCACCTCCAACACTGTGTGTGCCTGCCCCAAGGGCCAGGAGTGCAGGGACAAGGAGTGCACCGACTGTGACCCCGCTCCGGGACCCTCGCTGACCCCTCATCTATCACGGGCCCCAGACCCACAGCCACAACCCACCCACTTACCTTATGCCAAAAGTAGGTTCCAGGAAAAGTCAGTCCAGTCACTTGGGGTAAGGGTCATCCTCAAGCAGCACCCCCATTTCTGTGCCCACCCCCCAGAGTTGCCTGGTAGGCCTATCTCTGCCTTGCTATCACACCCTGCGCTTCTCAGGCCTCTTCGGCCTTCAGCGCAGTCTTTTCCTGACTCAGGCAGTCTCTGTTTTCCCAGAAGTGCTGGAGGCCAGGACAGCCAGGCACGCACAGACTTTGGCTGACTTCAGTCCACCTGCCCCAGCTCTCTCTACTCATTGGCCACGTGAGTTTTCTCCACATTCCCCACCCCAGGAGAGAATGCATACAGGAGAGTCCAAGAGAGGAGCAAGCCAGAAAGTAACTAGGAGTGCAGATAAGAAGGGGAAGAGCCAAGTCTAGGGACGAGGAAAGGACTTGGTGCAATGGCGGTGGAGAGGGGAGAAAAAGGGGGGAAGGAGAGAGGCAGGGATGATGGGAGGGCTGGGCTGAGGGGAGTCAAAGGGTAGGCCCTCCCCCAAAACTCTTGTGTGGCCCCTGCCAGTCACAGCCCAGAGGTCCCAGTGCAGCTCAGAATGCATCCGCGTCTTTGTGATCCTGTCTGGAATGTTCCTTGTTTTCACCACAGTCGGAGCCCTGTTCCTCCATCAACAAAGAAAATATGGACTAAGTAAGAGACAAAACACAGGTCTCCAGTCCTGTCCCTGGTCGCACCCCACCTTCTCTGCCCTGCCACCCATGCCTGGGACCTCATGGAAGCCTCCCTAGCTCCACCTTCCCCAACCCTGCTTCGTTCCTGCCTAGTCTTCCTCTCTGCCGAGGCCCTCCTGACAGCCCTCCCCCAAGCTTACCTCCTTTGCTTGTCTCTTCTCCCTTCACCCCGCCCTGATCATTGGCCAAGATTCATCTGCTTCTGTTTCTGCAGACAAAGGAGAAAATCCGGTGGTGCCTGCTGAGCCCTGTCCTTACAGCTGTCCCAGGGAGGAGGAAGGTGAAGCCATCCCCATCCAGGAGGATTACCGAAAACCTGAGCCTGCCTCCTACCTCTGAGCCAGCAGTCCCCAGAGAGGGGTCACCACTGCAATAAAGGCCTAGCTTCCAGCACAGCGCACTGACCATCCAGAAGCAGTGAGACCTGGCACTCCCTATCTCAGTAGCATGCTCTCATCAGGACCCTTTCCTGTGTGCAGCCTTGAGAAAGCACCTTTGAGACTGGCAGTGATGAGGACCCATGGGAGGGCCAGGGTGGGAGGCAGGATGTATCCTGGCCCAGCCAGCTTCACCTCGGTGCTGGAGGGGGCCCAGCATTCCAGTTGTAATACACACGTTAAGCCTATGAAAGGCCCGCATGCTGTATTTAGAACTTCTGCAAAATAAAGTGACAGCCTGATACACACTGCCTCTCTCTGAAATTCCAAGCGCACTACACAGGCCACTCCCAGCCTCCCCTTGGACCAGGGATCTGAGGGAGGAGCTTTCTTCCCTGCAGACTCGTGTTGTTGGGGCGTGTCCCACGGGGAGGAGGGAGAGGTGTGGTACTAACAGATTATCAAAAAAGGCTTCCAGACTATGGGGGTTCCTGCTTCTAGCTTCAGTCTCTCCCTTCCTCTCCCCACCTCCTTTTCCCTGCATCTCCACTTTCTTGGGGCTGGTGGGAAGCAAAAGGGTGTATGCAGTGAAGTCAGGTCTTGAAATCACCAGGGGATTTCTGGGGCTGGGGGGTGGGGTAGAAAGGAGAACAGTGAACAGGACTCTGGCACCGGCAAGAAATGGCTTCACCCAGAGGCAAAGGCAGCAGCAGTGCCGCTTCCTCAAAGAGAAAGTGAAAGTAGGCAGAGGACAGAAGAGAAACCCACTGGCTGTCGGCCACCAAGGGGTGTTTGGAAAGACCCCTCTTTTCCAGCAGGGAGCAGCTATGGAGAAGAGCAGCAGGAGGAGGGGCCTGAGAGCAGCCCCCATGGGCGCTGAGGGGTGGTGCCTGCTGCTCTGCGTGGCTCTGTCCCAAGCGGCAGACACTGGTGAGTGGGGAGCGGGCAGGACCTAAGTGGTGGGCTGGGGAAGCACCAGAAGGGGAAAGGTGCCAATCGCTTCCCAGCCCAGTGGAAGAAAGGCTCTGTGGCTGACAAAGGAACCACTTATGTTGGAGAGACTGAGAACCGTGGGGACAAGGCCAAATGAAGAGAAGGGGGGCCTTCATAGCGAATGCGGTGGGGGCCGCTGACCGACAGGAGAGGGGATAGCTTCAGAAGAGGAAGGGGTTCCCCAGCTAGGAAATCACTAGGAAGGGGACCCGGAGGCGGGAGAGGGGAAGGCCACATGTTACCGCAGAAAGCAGGGTACCTGTGGGCGAGCTGGGAAACTGAGAAGATGGCCGCCAGCACCTCTGGTCGGCACAAATGTCCCACTTCTCTCCCAGTGGCAATTTTGCTCACTTATATGCTTTGCTGAGAATTCCTTTGCTTAAAGATAGTTTCTCGTTTGATGGTTGGAGATAAAAGTAAAAACTTGAACTGTCTGAGCATGGCAAATCCGGGACTTTAAATAATTCACACCGAGAAGTGTGTACCTAGAATGGCAGGTGCTTCCCAGAACGCTGGTTTGGAGGATGACAAGAGACAGCTGGGACCCTGGAGGACAGTTTTTGCCCTTGATGGCTCCATAGGTGGGGGCAGGGAGTGAGCACAGAAAACAATTTTCTGGGCAGGAAGGTGTGGCTTCAGCCCGGTCTTTGCCCTGCAGCAGAAAAGCAATGGCAGGCAGTGGACGTGGTCTTGGACTGCTTCTTGGCAGAGGAGGGCAAGCACCACGGAGGGTTTGCCAGCAGAAAGGACATGGTGAGGGCCTTGCTGGTGCTGAGACAGGTGCCAGTGCTGGATGATGGCTCCCTGGAAGGCTTCGCCGATTTCCAACTGAGCACGCTGGCCAAAGACAGCCCACCTGTTACCTTTGAGGCTTCAGGTAAGAGCTTCCACCCCGTGCCCCAGTCCTCTGGGCTCCCTCCATTGGAACAGCCCAGTTCTCAGCACACCCACCTACCTCTGCTTCCCATGGGTTCAACCTAACCCAACCTCTGTGCCACCCTTCTCGCCCAGTGAATCTGGTACAGATTCCCCATGCAGAGGCCTTGCTCCATGCTGACTGCAGCGAGACAGAGGTGACCTGTGAGATCTCCCGCTATTTTCCCCAGGCCAGACAAGAGGCCACTGTGGAGACAGCAGCTTGGTTCATCACCAACATGCAGGTGTCTGGAGGGGGACCCAGTGTCTCCATAGTGATGAGGACTCTCAGGGATCCTGAGAATGTGGCTGTCTTGCATCCCACGGTGCACCTACCCCAGAGCCCCCAGGGGACTGTGCTGACTGCAGGTGAGAAAATGAAAAGTAACAGAAGATTTTGTTTTGTTGAGTATCCGGAGATGGACGGGTAGGAGCAAGGGGACAAGCCCACCTCCATCCCAATCAGTCATCTCAGGGTGTCCCCTCGGCCTCGGTCCTTTCTTCTGAAAGACCCAAAATGGGGGTAATTTTCTCCTCACTGCGTTGCCTGAGGAATGAGACCTGTGGCGCTCTATTCATGTACGCCGATCAGAGCAGTCTTAGCGGGCCAGAAGCCAGTTTCCTCCCCGTGCAACGCCAGTCTGGTCTGGTGTTTGACTAGAGCAAAGCACAGGGAGACAGCATTTGTTCATGACCCGTTATTAGTAAAACCCAGTGCTTGCCCTCTTCAACATGGTACATCCCAGAGGGCACAGGAAGTTGAAAACAGTGGTAGGTTCTTCCAGGGTTCACTGAATCCAGTATTTTACCTCCAAAAAGAGACAACCAAGTCCAAAGGTTAGGGAACTACCCACCTATCATCAGAAAGCCCCAAAACACTTGACCTTTCTGTGGTCCGACCTAAACTAACCCTGCTACATCCGAAAAGAGAGGGCATCTGTCTGTCCAGTATAAACTGGAACCCTGGGTACAGCCCGATACTCCTTTTATTTTGGATACGTTAAACCTACAAAAGGTGAAAGAGTAATATAACTAACACCCATGGCGCATTCTGCCACATTCTCTCTAGATAGACACATAGTTCCTGAACTCATTGAGAGTTGCAAAAATACCAACACTTCACCCCAAAATGCTGTCATGTACAGCATGTGGTTTATAGCATTTGGTTTACAACCAAAGGCAAGATTATTCTCCTTCATAATCACAGAACCATCACCTAAGCAGACCAAGGTGGGGATGCTCTCCCGTGGTACAGACAGTAAGGGGGTGCAGTGTGTGGAGAATTTAAGAACATACTTGCTAGGGCAGCCCTTCCCATCTCCCCCGACCCACTGCCTGTTACACTACTGGGCATCATACTCAAATATCAGTATTTTGAAATTAATATTTATATTGTCAAATGTGGAGTCCAAATTCAAACTTCTCCAATTGCCCCAACAGTGTTCTTTATAGCCTTCTGTTGTTTTGTTTCGTTTTGTTTTAAAGTCCAGTATTCAAACAAGGATCATGCATTGCATTTAGGTGTCTTGTGTCTTTAGCTCCTTTACCCCAGAACAGTCTTTCACAGCCCCGACATTTTTGAAGGGCCCAGGCCCCCACCATTTGGATGTCTGATTGTTTTCCTCAATAGATTTAGGTTTAGCATGGCTGGCACAAATACTATGACTGTGCTTTTTACACACTCACTCCTTCTTAGTCTTCACAGCAGCTTTGCCTTTGGCAGGTGGGCCTGGCAACACTAAGTGACTTGTCCAAGGTCACACAGCTATAACATGAAAGAACCAGGGGTCCAAAATTTTTTCTCCTACTCCAGTGGTTCCTACCCGAGAGCAATAGTAACCCATAATTTTGCATGTGTGTGTTCCTGGTGAGCAGTCCATAGGTTTCATCACATTATCCAGGGGCGACTCCAAAATAACTAACGTTACCTACCACATGTGCCACTCTGCCTTTCCAGAGCCCCGTGTCGTTGGGGTTCCATCGCGTGGGAAATGAGCTCATGTGGCCTCACTGTCCAGGAAAGGTGGCAGGGGTGGATGTATACCCACCGTTCAGAGATGGGGTGGCCTCAAGAGGAAGCTGTCCCATCCACCATCATCCCTCTCTCTCTCACCACAGTGGAGCTGCAAGTGTCAACTGATACCCCATCCCTGAATTTCCTGCTGGGGTCCTCAGCCTCCCTGCGCTGCAACTTCTCCATGGCACCAGGCTTGGACCTCACCAGAGTGGAGTGGCGGCTGCAGCATAGGGGCAACGGCCAGCTGGTGTACAGCTGGACCACGGGGCAGGGGCAGGCCAAGCGAGAGGGTGCTACCCTGGAGCCTGAGCATCTTCTCATGGCCGGGGATGCCTCCCTCAACCTACCCAGCCTCACTCTGAAGGACGAGGGGGCCTACATTTGCCAGGTCACCACCTCTCTGTATCAAGCTCAACAAATCATCCAGCTCCATATCCAAGGTGAGGCCAGAACTCGCTGAGCTGGGGGAGAAGGGAAAGGATATGCTTACTGGGGGTGTTGTCCAGAGTGGAACCCACATATAAGGGCACTTCCTGAGAGGAGCCACGTCCCCACCACCTAAATGCCACCTCCATCCTGTAAGTGCGGACAGCATCAGACTGTCTCCTGTCACACTCCAGAAGTCCACTGAGAGCCTCCCCAGCCCAGGCTCCTGCGGCCCTGCCCTGGCTGGCCGCCCCGATCGCACACGCGAAAGGAACAGCAGCAAACAGAGGAGGGGCAGCGCGAGTGGTCCTGATCCAGGCGAGAATTCCCTCACTAAGACCCTTTGCAATCACTGGCTTGCAGTGATAAGAAGCCAACCTTCAGTTGGTTTTACCATTGTTGTTCAAATACCTGTGGAAGATGTACCCCTTTATGGCCTGCACCCAGGGTGGACCCCTCACTCATCCCTTGGCACTCCCCACTGATGAAACTTCAGCCTCCACAACCTGTCTCACTCTCAGCAGGAACAGAAAGCTTCAGGCTCCTGTACTGTCCCATTCTCTGGAATCTTACTCATTCTTTCTTCCAGCTTCCCCCAAAGTACGACTGCATTTGGCAAATGAAGCTCTGCCACCCACCCTCATCTGCAACATAGTGGGCTATTATCCTCTGGATGTGACTGTGACATGGACCCGAGAGGAGCTGGGTGGAGCCCCAACCCCAGTCTCTGACGCCTCCTTCTCCAGCCTCCGGGAAAGCCCAGGGGGCACCTACAGCATCTCCTCCTCCCTGACAGCAGAACCTGGCTCTGCAGGTGCTGCTTATACCTGTCAAGTCACCCACGTCTCCCTGGACAAGCCCATTGAGGCCAGGGCCTGGGTTGCCCCACCAGGTACTGGGATACCCTTCTCTCTCCACCTCTGTCCTGGGCTCCTGGCTCTCCTACCCCCGGC